TACACAGGGAAACACATACACACACAAACAAGCAACCAAACACACACACGCAAAAACAAGCAAGCAACCAAACACACACAGACGCAAACAAACAAGCAACCAAACACACACACGCAAACACACACATACACACATACGCACACACACGTACGCACAAACAAACAAACAAAAACACCCAAAGCACATTTTCAACGCTGCCGTATTCATCAAATAGTCCCCAAAACTTGCTGTAAACAAACAGCCCCGTTACGCAATTTTTCCTTCACCCTCGAAATGGGCGACAAACGTAATCGAGAAAGAAGATTGAAAGGGAAGCTGTTATCTCTTTTGATGGCAGTGAACTCAGCGTGAAGGAAGTCTCCCCTCGTTTGATGGTGATAAAGGAAGTAATAAAAATCATTTACATATTATGAATAACAGGAAGAAGAAATTTGGTATTTTGGTGCAATAAATGAGACGGAAAATGCCTGCTATTGAATGTACAGGGAACAGCTCTTTTATATTGATGATTTATATTATATATATATATATATATATATATATATATATATATATATATATATATATATATGTGTGTGTGTGTGTGTGTGTGTGTGTGTGTGTGTGTGTGTGTGTGTGTGTGTGTGCGTGCGTGTGTGTGTGTGTGTGTGCGTATAATTATCCTTTTTAAGATAATAATAAAACTATTAATATACTGTAGTTAATGCTTCTGGTCAGCTTCAACATTAACTTAATAGTATGTACAGTCGTCTATTGGACTCATAACTGCATTATGATCACCACTTTTGTTTACAGTTGTGCCGTCCTGACCAAAAAATTCCGCCCAAGAAAAAAAAATGATAAAGAAGTTTCAAATTACGTAAACACATACACACATATGCGCGTGTGTGAGTGTGTGTGTATATGTATGTCTATGTGTGTGTATATATGTATGTCTATGTCTGTGTATATGTACGTCAATGTGTTTGTGTATGTACGTATGTATGTGTGTGTGTGTTGGCGTGCGCTTCCTTCTTCCCTTTATTGTAACACTTTAAATATAATCACAGCATCCAGATAGAAGATTTCAGTTCTCACGTGCTGCTCCTCCGTGCCTTCTGCCCACTATACATTTCCCAAGCAAGACCGAATGAAGAAACTGCTTGCAAACTTTCTTAACTTTCCACGGCGAAGTCTTTTCAGAAACGCCACTTTAGGATGTAATCGGATTAAACTCTAACTTTCACGTCGCTGTCTTCTTGACTTGCTTTCTTCTTGTGCCCATATTTTTTCCCCCGCTGAGTTTTTGGGGAAGAAAAGGTTAGAAAAGGGAAGAAGAGAAAGAATAGAAAGAAAAACACAAAGGAAATAAAAGAAGAAATGGCACACGCACATACACACACACAAACACACACACACACAAACACAAACTCACACACACATACACACACACACACACACACACAAACACAAATACAAACACACACACAAACACACACACACAAACACAAACTTACACACACATACACACACACACAAACACAAACTCACACACACATACACACACACACACACACATATATATATATATATATATATATATATATATATATATATATATATACATATATGTAGATGTGTGTGTGTGTTATATTCTTTTCGATTGTAGCTACCGATCTTTTGTGACAAGCGCATTGAGAAAACGATATTCTATAATGGAAATGATATAACCAAATGAATTAAGATTTATATTGTTAATCCCAGTTTATGCTTATCTAACAAAGCAAATTATTCATCCAAGTGTCGAAGCCAATGTATTTCTGTAAATGGCTCCATAATGCTTAAGTCAGATTTTCTGGATTGGCTTTTTAAATCTATATTGCGTTTCATTACAAAAAGAGCTTCTGCATAATAGAGATAATCAAATATGCCAATAAAAAAAATTAAATGATATGTCAATAAAGAGATGATTAAAAGGTGAAAATATTAGAGAAGAAAGCCTGTTTTTATCATATTACAGAAGGAATGACCAAAAAAAAAAACTTCACCAGGAGAGCACACACACACACACACACACATATGTCGCCTTTGTCTTCGATTTTGCACTTTTCTCTACGAATAAAGAATTCACACCTCTTGATCAAGATATAGTATTGTTCTTAACCCAATCGCCACGGGGTTATGTTCTGTCTCTGTATTATTATTTTTTGCATGAATTTCGTTACATACAGGTGGCGCTAGATGTGCTCAGCCGGCAAGGAGTTTATTAGTAGGCGCTAGTGATCGATTCTGATTTCCCCATTCCTTGTATTGGTGGGAAAATGTGTTTTTCTTTTTGATACAATTGATACCGATACTGTTATTATTGATATTGATGTTATGATCATTATTTTTTTTATCATTATTTATTATTCATTTAAGACCCTTTCCAAAAGTCAAGGAAAAGGGTAAACAGATGAGATAGGTAGGACTAATAACTGACTCCTTGGTGACTAAGCACTTATAGAGCCATCTATATGTA